ACATACAAACAAACATACACATGTACTTACATGCATGCATGCATGCATGCATGCATGCATGCATGCATGCATGCATGCATGCATGCATGCATGCATGCATGCATACATACATACATACATACATACATACACACTTAGATAACTTAGATACGTACACGCTTAGATACACGAATACAGGCATGCATGTATGGACGCAGGCATGCATGCATGCATGCATGCATGCATGCATGCATGCATGCATGCATTCATTTATGCAAGTTTGTACAGTATGTACATTTGCGGGCGTGAGCCGCCAAACCGAAGACCGCACCATACCGTACCCCTGCGCCTCGGGCACCTCCCGCAGCTCGGTTTCTCGCCGGAGCTGGCGCCGGCGGCGCCACGCTTCGGCTGCCAATCGCGCCCTCCAGGGACCTGGGACTAGCACTGCGCAGCAGAAGGCTGCTGCTGGAGCCAGTGGAAGCGAAGCTTGAGAGCATGGAGCAATGCCAATGGCTATGGCCCTCCCTAAAAAATCCTAAACCCAAGACCCGGCGCACGTAAGCCTAACCGGCCTAACCCTAAACCCAAAGCTTAATTAATCTACACCGCCTGAACCGTAAAGTAGCGTCTGCTTCCCCCTGAGCTGGCGGCACACGGGGCGGCCGGGTGAAGTCATGGGAAAGACCAAGCCTGCCAGCCAGCACTCTTGGGCTTAGGGCCCTCGAGGGTTTGGAGGCTTTGGGGTTTTCAGGGCGGATTAGGTTTTAGGATGTTTCAGTGGGGTTTAGGGCTTCATTTTTGCACGGGTTCAGGAGCATCGCAACTCGCATCACTTACAGGGGCCCTGTGTTGTCTGCTTGAGATTCATCCGGTGTCACGAAGGCAATGGATGCTCCCCAGGTCTTCGAAGGCATCTGCAAGCAGGTCCAAGGAAATGTAGCCAAGGAGCCCAGAATCGACTCCTGATGGCTGGAACGTGCAGCTTCACAGGCTTAAGGGCATGGAAGGGCCAATGTCTATCAAAACTCTCTTTCCCTGGTTCTCTGCGTATCCCGGGTCCTTTCGCTGCTTTGCCCTTCTCACGGCCCTTCATGCGACCCTTCTCTTGGCCGTTGTAGCCCTCAGGCGTTTGCCTGGATATCCTCAGCGTCCCTCCTGTGGCCCTTTCGGGGCCCTCCTTCTTTCCTTTGAGGCCCTTCCCTGAGGCCTTCCCTGAGGCCTTCCCTCCGGCCTTTCCTTTCTCCTTCCCTTCCTTGCCCCGGTCCGGCCGGCTCTTGCCGTAAGAGACCTCCAAGCCTGGCGCAGAGGAACTTACGAGGCCGAGTCTTAGGTCCTACGATGGGCCGCGCCGCTGCGCATGACCTGTTCCGCTCTTTTGTGACTTTCTGACAGGTGATTGCAGTGGGCACACGACCCACAGAAGGGGCAAACTTCAGATGCAGGGTAAAACGCAGGTCGGCCGTTTTCGGAGTACAATCAGCAGAATCACACGTTGTCCGATGCTTTCGCATTACCCGGCCGAGCTCCGTACCTGCGGATAAACAAGATTGGCTTCTTGGCTCGTCCGGGTCCAATACAGGCAATCCTCACAGAGCTGACCTGCTGAGAAAGTGTTGGGACTGTTCAACTCTGTGAGGACTGCCTTCTGCAAGACGAGAAAGGCCTCAATGTGCAGCGGCATGTCTTTCTGCGACTCGCATTGCTCACGAGTGACCTGATCAACCATCCCAAAGTTTGCAACACCGTCCTTGCCGAGGAACGCATAGCAGGTACACAAGACCTCTTCCTGAAGGAGGGAATCGAGCTTGCGGAACTTCCGAGTCCCTCATCACACGAAGCCACTCCACTTCCCTCGACATCGTTGCGCAGACGCGCCCAGGCTGCAACTGAGTGTTGGAGGGCAACGAGGCTCGCGTTGTTGCTCGGCTTCAGGGCATCATACACTGGGTCCACGAAGTGAGGGCAGGCAAGAACACGTCCAAGTTCTGCTGAGGATGCCTGCAGGGCCCTGGCATCAGACGTCATCTTTGCAATGTTGGGGTCGTACCGCCGGCGAATCTGATCTTCCGAAGCCCGACCTTGAGATGTACCATAACTCGAGTGTTGTCCCAAAGCTTTTCTGCTCGGTTGAAGCTGAGCTATTTTTCAGCCTGTCTGCTCGGCAATGCTCTCCACCTGGCAACTGCGCTTGGGATTCTGGCCGTGTCTTCGAAAGAGCATCGTTGACGATACAGGGCACTTCCATCAAGCTCGGGTAGAAATTCTGCTCGCTGAGATCCACCAGACGGCTTGGGTTCATGAGGACGCCCTGCATGTCGTCATCTTCAAAATTGCCACACAGATTCCTGGCGAACTTCTCCCAGCTATAGTACAGTAGTTCGCCATCACCTCTGCAACGACATCAGATTGTACCTCAGCGAGGGTCAACGCCGTCCTTGCCGAGGAGGGCGCGCGGTCACACAACAATCACTTCCCGAAGAAAGTCATCGACAAAGACGAGCCCAGGATGCACTCCAGTGTTGGATGGCAGCTTCAGTGCACTCACTGGCTCCACGAAGTCCGGGTGGGCAAGGACACGCCCAAGCTCGACGTCATCTTTGGAATGTTGGAGGTCCCCAGGTCCCTGAGGACGGTAGTTCTCCATGATCCCAGCAACGACATCAGACTGCTGAGCGGCGGCAACGCTTACAGGACCGAGTGCTGACTGAGCGCGGTGTCGATTTTGGCATTACGTATCGATTCTCCACACCGATTACATGAAACACTGGTATCGGTTTTGAGAATTGGTAACCGGGTCCACACGAGATTGAGCTTTGTCCTCCCATAGTACGGGAAACCAAGAAGCCGGAGTCGCGCTAGTCGCGCACCTGGTTGAAGCATATCGAAGTTGATTCAGCCGTGTGTTGTCGCTGTTAACAATGACCGCCAGGCAGTCCAGGATTACTTGCGTGTCCAGAATCGTGCGGAAACGACTCGAAGCTTGCCAAACCACTCGGTCTCGCATCAGCAGCTTTTCAGGTCGTCGTGTAGCACCATTAGCAAGAAGTCAGTTACTCCTATTGCAAGTGGCTATGCGCTGGAGCGCGATGCTGAGCTCGGGCAACTGCCGGGACTTCCCGGGAGCGCGCTGAAGTCGAGCATCGTGCATAGGACACACCAGGCTCATTCTGGTAGCTGGCCGACAATGCTACCCAAAAGGTCTCACAGAGTCCACCATTGCACCTCACGGCGGCGATGGCCAGTCAAATTCCTGTCCTGTACTTGCTGCTTGATTTGATCACTGCGCCAAATAACTGCACGGGTTCGTGTCTGAATGGCGGGCGAGCTTGAGAAAAACCGGCTTCCATCCCAGTCGTACATCGAACTCTGGAATGGACTGCATCACCATAGTCAGCAACCGAACCACCGACCTCATGTTCATCAGTTTCACCAATGACATCATCGCGATATCAGCCCGTCAACATCAAGCTGCAACATCATTAGGATCATGATGGTCGACGAAAAAACGACGAGGATGTCGACGCTGTATGGTATAGCAGAATGCATCCAAGTCCAAGGACAAGGTCTAAAAAGGATCCGACATGGGAGCCTGGCGGCGTCTGAAGCGCTCCGTTGGCCTTGCCCTTGCCCAGGCCCTTACCTGGAGACCGGGGCTGAGCTCTAGGGCTCCAGGGATTTGGGGAATTTGGTGTAAGTCGGACAGCCTCCGAGGCTTGCTGAGGTCCGGGCTCAGGGCTTTGGGCGCCAACTCCTGCGCAATGGCTCCGCAAAGGAGCTGAGAGTCGGAGTCACACGGACATACTTCTATGGTGTCAATATGATCTGCGGAACTGTCGCACAAGCAGTTGGCCTCAAGACACTCACGATCGTGGCAGAACAGGAAACTGGAAAGCAGTGAGACCGGCAATGTCAGTCACGATGAGCTATGCCAGTTTCACCCTAACCCCCCCTTCCGCCCTTCCCGGGGCCCCGTCCGAGGAACTCTGAGAGACCCAGGCTGGACCGGACGGGGGCAGCCTCAGGGATCGGGGTGACTCTGGCGCTGTCGGGTTGGGGGTGAGAAGGGTCGGTTCTGGGTTTCGATGCCCTGCGAAGCAAAGCCCAGGCTGGGCACGTCGCGCTTGGGGCCCTGAGCTCCGAACACGCGGCGCACTCGCGCCGGCGCCCTTGGCTCCTGGCGCTTGTGGGCAGAGTTTAGGAAGCTTTCTTGGTTTGGGGTTTCTGTTAATATTGCCCTTGGTCGCCTGGTAGGTCCACCAGGCATCTTCTTTCCAGCCTTCTTCCCACTCTTCCCAGCCTGACGGCTCGCGGCTAGCACTCATGGCCAAGGAGTGCCAAGTCTGACCTTCGTCCCAGCCATCCCAATCCGCATAGGCGTAGGCATCGTGTGTGCCATTGCCTGCAGCATGGGTGGCTGATGACTGCGACTGCGATCAGCAGAGAAGGAAACAAACCCTGCTTCCTGTCTCTCCCTTCCTTCCTTCGTTCCTTCCTTCCTTCGACAACACTCTTTCTTTCCCAGGGCTAGGGGCAAGAGAGAGAGTCTCTCTCTCGCTCTCTCTCTCGCAAACTCAGCCGCCTTGGGCCCAGCCAGGGCCAGCTCGAACTCGGGCCATCCGAGGCCAGGGGGCCCAAGTGCCAAGGGGCTACGAGCGCATGGCCGCTGCAAAGTCTACAACTGCTGCTTTACCGCCTCTGCTTTGCCGCCTCTTCTCGCAGTTCCGGGTCCAAACCTCTCTTCAGATCCTCCTCTGGCACTTCTACTTCTGCGCGTGGACTCCAGATGCCGTACACAGCTGGCTCTTGCACGTGGAAGAAAAGGAATTCGAACCGGAGCCACAGGGTCGCTGCGGGGCGGCCAAAACTAAGCTGTCGTTGTGGGCAGGGCAGGACCCAGGAAGGAGGGGATGAACCTCTGACGCTTTTGCACGGGGGCCCCTGTGAAGGGTCCGGTCGATGCGCCTTGAGCCCCGCGGCGCCGCTTGGCGGCACTGCGAGCCTTTCGCATTAACGCTGTTGTGAGACTCGCGTCACTCCGGAGACCCAGGCTCCGTCTGAGGCGCGTCCTGGCACGGCTCTACTGCGCGGCGCATGCGCGACAAGTGCGTCGTGGGAAGTCCTCCGGCCCTGGAGAAGCCGGTGAGAGGGACTCCTAACCGGACACTTCGATGAGAGCGAGCGCTTTTGCGGGCTCCCAAACGGGGGACCCAAGCGTCGCCCAGGCGCCTCCTCAAAGGCGTCGTCCAGCGCGGATCTCTCGAGCTCGGTCTCCTCTCGCCGGGGGGGCCCGGGATGCTCCGAGAAGCTACCCGGGCATGGTTTTGCAGGGGAGCTTGCTTAGAGGCACTTGTACCACTTGCACCACGTCTTCTCTATTTTGCGTACTGGTAATGCTAGTACCCGTCGTCTGCAACACCTCCAAAACTGAATCTTGAATCCTCCTACTTCGATCGAAAGCTGGTAGCTTGACAGTCCGGAGGTCGGAAGAGAAGTGTCACAAGCTGGAGATCGCAAAACCCCTCATCCCTCAGAAAGAGTGGCGTACGGACCTTCGGAAGGTCTGCAACACCTTGGCAACGAATCGGAAACCTTGGGAGGTATAAAGCTGCGAAGACCTACAAGCACGCCGACCCCGAAACCCGACAAAAGGCAAAAAACGAGAGGGCAAAAATGAGATCCTCAGCTTCAACACACACACACACACAATCTCTCCAAGTGGAGTGCGACTAGTGCCAAAATGTGCCAAGTCCTAAATCCACACAGCCGAAGCTGAAAGGCAGATGCAGACACTTCGGAGGCAACTCCGAAAAGGAGACCGCGGCACTGTGGCAAACTATCAAGAGTGCTGTAAGGTCACGCCCTAAACCCGAAAGAATGTTGGTGAGGAGTGCCATAGCAACAACAAATATGATGTCGAAGCATACACTGGGAGACCACTGTATGATGCTGTATGACTGTATGATGCCGACACACGACCCTCTGAAATGCTAGGCCCAGAGGTAGACAAGTGAACACGAAAATCCGAAAGGAGCCCTGGAGGAGCGGCGAGATGCGGCGATACCAAAACCCCAGGCTCGGCGCCTGTGGGCTGGACGGGTCGCCATTCGGCGAGAAGTCCTGAGAGTGGCACCAGGAGCGCTCACCGGTTCGGCTGGGCCTTGCCAGCTTTGCCTCCTGGTAGTAGGACGCCTCTTCTTCGATCTCCACACGGGCTTTGCTCTCAGAGCGCTTTCTGAATCCCCAAGTTCCCGAGCCTGCCCGTTCTGATACGAAGCACTGTCCGGCGACTGCTCGCCCAAGTCCTGGCCAGCGGGGTGCCCGGAAAAAGCCGAAGCGGCTTGGCGGGGAAGACGAGGTCCTCGTATGCAGATTGCGGCGAAAGTGGCGAGATCGGCGATTGCGGAGACTGAGTCCCCATATCCGTCTCCGTCCGTGGATCCTCCGCGCCCAAAGCGAGCAAAAACCTAGATGAAGGCCAAAAGGAATCTTGGCTGGCCACCCGAGAGGAGGATGGGTCGAGGCCATCGAATCCTGACTCGTCCTGAGACCGAAGCCGGTCGAAGGGCCCCCGCTGCAGCAGACGCCCTCACCACTCGCCCAGCTCGGCCTCTGCGTCGACTTCGGGCTCCTTCATAGGAAACTCTGCTCCCGAACCCAGAAAGAGCCCGAGAATCCTCCCTTCGCCTGCGTCATTGCAATGCTAAAAAGGCTGTAGCGTAAAGTTAGCTCGGGGACGTGAACCTGCGGTCTTCGTCGGCCAGCGGCTCAGACATCGACCCTCTCCTCCGGCTCCTCGGGCTGCTCGAGAGCCCAGGGCTTGAAGGCATCCTGCGGCTCAGCCCCAAAAGCGGCCCAACAGCGGCGGCCTTAAGGCAGCCCGCGCCCGCTCACCTGGTAGGCCTCCGCGAAGGACATCCGCTCCACCTGCTCCCGGAAGCCACGACGAAAAAACCCAACAAAAACCAGCCCCAACGCCTCCTGCTGGATCGAGTCGATGGCCAGCACCTCCGGGCTCGACAAAAACTCCTGAAGCTCCTGGCGCGCGAGAAACGGAGCCGCCCAAGTCCCCCTCGCGGCGCTTTGGCGGTCGCCTGCGTGGACTTCTGCGCCTCCTCCGCCTGGTGCTCGGCATCTGCGGCAGAGGCCCGGGCAGTGCTGAGCTCCTGCAGGCGGGTCGTCCGGGTTCGTCCGAATTGTGACAAAGCCCGAGCCGAGAAAAACATCTCCTCCTCCATGCTGGGCATTTCACGGCCTGCGAAGTGACTCTTGCACCGATGGAGGCCTCGCAAACCTCGTGACCCCGTCCCAACTCAACTCCCCCCACGGCGGAGCCTCTCTCGTTGATGGCCTGCGTCAGCCACTCACCCGTCCTGGCCGATACCCCCCGGCTTATGACTGTCCGGTGCAGAAGGCGGGACTCCCTCTTTATGACTCCGAAGTGCCGGCTCTCCCCCAGTCTGGCGTGCCTTAGGTCCAGGGTGTGGAGCTCTTTGCCTCAGGCTCTTTCGGAAGCTTAACGCACCCGAACTGCGGCTTTTGGAAGCTTTGAGCTTTGTCCTGAAACCCTTGGCTCCCCGACCAAACCGATCAATACGGGCACCAATGGCACGCCGCTGCTGTCGAGCCTTCCCATGGAGCCCAAAGACTCTCAACTCGTTCCTAAAGCTCCACAGCTCGACTCCACCATGACAAACATGCCGCTACGCATGACCTGTTATGATCTTTCGTCACAGTCTGCGTCATGACAGTGATGGACACACGTCAAAGAATGGAAAGATTCAACGTCACGCAGGTCGGGCCTTCTTAGAGCGAAATTTAGCGGTGCAGCTCGCTTTCTCGAAGCTTGTCATGACTGACCAGCCCGAGTTTGCTTTCACAAGGAAGAGCTGCGGAAACTTCCAGCGCGTGAAGCAAGGCACTCGCCGAAAATCTCGTAGCATCCAGACAGGTCTGTCAGCTGTCTGGCGAGAGGCTGAGGTTATGTAGCGAGTCATTTGACGCAGAGGCCACTTTGTTTCTGTCCTCCTGCGGTCTCGAGTCTGTCTTCTTCGTCTTTGCGCGCAGCTGATTCACGGACTTCGAGCTTGCTTACCCGTAGCCTTCACCATGGCGACGAGGCACAGCGGCTTGTCTTCCAACGGCGGGCGGCTTCCACCCGAGTTGCATATCGCTCTTGAAGCTGCTGAATAGACTTCTCATCACTGACGTCATCACCATCTTCTTTTCTTCATCACTATCATCAGCAACCGAACCACCGACCTCATCCAACTCGCAACCTCACCAGGATCAGACACGTAGATCGTCAACGGCAGAATGAATGAATATCAGCATCACCCTTCACGAATGACAGCAACGTCGTTTTTCTGGTCACTATCACCACCATCATCAAACCCATTGCCTTCAACATCAACCGCCAACGTCAGTAGGACACTAGGACCATCATGATCAACCAAGACGACGTCGACGACGAACTACGAGTAACTACTGCTGTTTCTCCTGCCTCTCTGCCGCTCGCTGATATCTCCAATGGTAGGGTAGAGTCTAGAAGCCTACTGCCACCGTGAACTCGTGAGCTGTCACAACCCAGCCTGCTGAAGCTGCGACATGCGGTGGGCCAATTTCTCTGTCCACTTTCCCTGCTCCTGGCTTTGGGACACGGACTTTGACCAAGCTCGGCTACACGAAATTCACACGACATCCACAAAACAAACAGAATTGAGCAGAGGCTTCCAGGCTCGGCCTCCACAGCAGAGCCCAGATGCCTTGGACGCTCGGGGCTTCACTCGGAGAAAACCGCTCAAAGGGCCCCGAAGCCCGGGCTTCTCGATGGTCTCCCTCCGTGCCTTCTCCTGACGGGCTCTGACGGTTTCGGCTGAGAGATCTCCGGGGACCCCACCTCCTGCACTTTCTGGTGGGCACGTCGAAATTCCTGCGCGGCCGGGTGCGTCACGTGTCTAGAGAGTCCGAAGAGCCTGTCGCCGTCCTCGTAGAGCCTCGCAAGCTCATCCAGCTGACCTCAAGAGGTCTCAACTTTAGTTCGGCGACATCGGAAGCGGACGAAACTTCGGTCGAGGCCGAGCGCCGGGCCCTGGCACTCGTTGCGCAGCTCCTCGCATTCCTTCTCTGCTGCCTCCGCCCGAGTCCGAAGCCCCTGGCCGCAGAAGATCGGTATGGTGGGATGTTGTCGCAGGATGCACTTTTTGCCCCTTTGTGCTCGGCCCGGCCCACCATGGTCACCTGACAAGAGCGCAGCTTGTCGCAGACGCTCCGACTCCAATGCAAGGCATTGCAGACTTGCAGAGAACTCCTCTTTTTCTCCGCCCAAAGCCCGGATCAGAGAGTCAGAGAGGCTCCAGCTGAATCCGCAGACCATCTGGATCGTGTAGCACAGCGCGACCTTCGCCGCCTTCGCCCTCCGCAAGCCTGGCAAAAGCACCGCCGGGCCAAGTGGGACACCGCTCTCCCTCCGTTCCGCTCCTGCGCAGCTCCTCCGGTGGCAGCCGGACCACGATACCAGCCATGCCCTGGGCTCTCCGCGTTACGCGGGTCATGCCGCTCTGCTGCCGCTTGCCGCTGCATGCGCCTCCTCGTCGTCGGCAGGCAGCCGCAAGCTGCCGGGCCGGTAGTCCCACCTGCAGGTACCAACCACCAGTCCCCGAAGCAGCACACGCCACATCGCACACCCACGGCCCACGGCCGGCAAGCGCAAGGACGCCTGTGCTGCAGCTCCAACGTGGTGTAGTCACGCTGATACAGCCACTCTCGATTCTCCACGGCCTTGCAGACAAGGCCCCACTCCGACTCTCGCACACGTGTCAAGAGTCCGGCCGAACCTCAAGATCCGCTTTGGGAGGGCTGTCCTCTGTGTAAGCGACGAAATAGAGCCTCGTTGAAAAGCATACCGCGCTTGCGGCGTCGTTGACTAGTTTTGGCAAGTGGCGTGAAGCCGTAAGGAGCCACTTCCTACAGTACACCGGGTGCAGTTAGCGACAGCTGCTCTACAGCTAGCTGTGGCTTCAAGCGTGCGCCTGCACGGACAGCAGCTTCATTCCCATTACCCTGGCCAGAAAGAGGAGCCGCGTGAGGGAATGCAATCCAGCACGAAGCTGGCCTCTGGTAGAAATCCAAGCTGCGCTTGGGGTCGGTGATGCGTGTGGTAATCTGTCCGATGACCTGAGAAACTGCCCACAACGTGTAAAACTTTAAAAAAAACTCCCGTCAAAATGCTACCCTCTCTGTGAAGCTGACGAAGTCTTGGGCGATGGTCGCTTTGTTGGCGACCTCGAGACCCGCAACTGATCACATCTCGACTCGCATGAACGTGTTTTTCTGCGCAGCCCCCAAAAGAAGCAGAGAAGCCACGGAAAAAAAGGCTTCAGCAGAGGAGCCGGGCGCGTCAGCCGCTCCGCCCTCTCTGCTGCACTGGACTCAAACGTCGTTTGCAGCAGCTCGATGCAAAAGCCCGCCGGATCTGGCACTCCCAGCGACAGAGAGTCTCCACATCCAAGAAGGCTGCATAGGGCTCACGATGGCTCACGGGCGACCCGCTTATGTGCCTGCCATGTGCGTCAGGAAGCCGATGTCCCGAAACTGGCTCCCCGGCGGCACTCCAAGGCGTGCCTGGGAGAGACGGGAGAGCTCGAGAGATCTCGAGAGACGAGAGCCCTCTTCAGCCGAGCAGCTGCAGCAGCCTGTACGTCATCGACTGCTAGGCCTATCTTCCAGTAGAGGTCGCCCTTGCTGTGGGAGTAGGCGACCTGGGCTTCAGACTTCCGTCAGCCCGAAACAGACCACAGAGCCTGAACCCCCCAAACGTTCTTTGCCGGAAGTTCAAGCTCTGCTCTCCGGGCCTTCACCGTGTCATCCGCTACCAGGCGCACGGCGCAGCTCCTTGTCTCGGGCACCCGCAGCTCCCGGACATCCGGTGCTTCCGAGTCATCGCCGACTTGGACCATGCCCAGGCTCTTCCTGTAACTTCCCACAGGTTCAGGGTCTTCAGGGTCTAGGCTTTAGGGGTTGGGGCTTAGAGGTTGAGGGTTCAGGGTTTAGGGCCAGGGTTGAGCCTTTCCTTTGTGAGAAGGGGTCTTGAACGGGGCTACGCTGGGGCGAGGAGGGCGCTGCTACTTGGAGGCTTTGCTATTCGGGGTTACCGTTATTGAGTTCATGCAATCAGCTACCCAACCTGTCCAAACGCCGAAAGCTGTCCTGTAGAACTCAGACGTGGCTTGAAGCCGCGCCGGGGCGATGCGGAGCACGACGGCGGCCAACATCGGTCTGCTGCCCCCTTCAGCGTCTTCGCGAACCAAAACCGGAAAAACCGCTAGAGTAAGGCCCTAGTGTAGGTGGCACCTACGGTTGGAAAGCAAGGATGGAGTTCCTTGAGCCGAGAGCAGCACAGAGATGCGCACGGCGTGAACTCCTCGCCGTTCCAGGTCAAACCCGGCCCAAGCTCCAAGAGAAGTCCCTGAGCCCAGGCCTCAACGCTGGCGCCGCATGGCGGGTTCCCGGCGGGCGGGAGAGGGTGCAAAGCGGGGCGATGTCCGGAGCTACCCATAGCTGTTGAGGTGAGCAATTTAGACTATTTAGACCAAAGGGAGCTACAGGCAAAACGAAGAGTGAGCGTTCTGACTGCCACCATGGGAACAGCGACCGCTACAAAGTGGAACTATGAGCGCCGGAAACACGAGTTCAGCTGCGGCGGACCACGCTTGGACCCTTGTTCTGTGAAGCTGCAACCAAAACGGCGGCCCCTGCCCGCCTCCAGCTGGGGCCTTCGGAACACGCACAAGGCATCGAGCCATGCAGCCATGTAGCTACCCCTATGCTCCGAGTGCACGCGCACAGGCATGAAAACCACGCATGTATGCATGCAAGTACGAGTATGTACGTATGCAGCTGTGTAGGCAGCTTATGCATGCATGCATGCATGCATGTGTGTGTGTGTATGCATGTATGCATGCATGTGTGTATGTATGTATGCATGCATGTGTGTATGTATGTGTGTATGTTTGTGTATGTATGTAT